GGAAGATGTCCCATTCCAGGATGGCTTGATGAAGTTGATCCATCGGGGGGATCAAACGCGCACGCATATCCTTGGCAGAGCGTTGTACCTTTACCTTCTTGACTGGGCCTCGCGTCTTTTCGAGCAGTGCCCGTTCGCGACGTCTTTGGGCTTCATCAACAGCCTTTTGGCCTTGTTGGCCCTTGTTAATGAGGTTGTTGAGATCCTCCTCTCCAGAATCATCATCCTCTTCCTCGTCGCTGTCGACCAGGATTTGACTCTTCTGCGTTGTGTGTTCTTTGCCAACTACACCACTAAGTCCCTTTAGCCCCGAGCCCTCACCCACATTGGCGGCTCCCCGGAGAGCGCGAACTCTTGCAACCTCATCGGCATCTCTCTTAGCTTTCTCCAATTTGGCTTTCTTGCGCGACTCAATGAGGGCGTTCTTCGATGCTTGAGTGACCACTGGCTCAAGCTTGGGCTTGACGGCCATGCGGGGGATGGCTGGCGACGCTTTCTGGCGAGCGGCCATTTGGTCCAAGATTGATCTTTTCTTGTCGACGGAACTGCTGAGCTCGAGAACGTCGTCCTTGTTTGACCGAACGGCCTGGGACGTTGGTGTTGAAGAACCGGACTTGGACCAGGCATCGAGGAAACTCTGTTTCTTTGGCTTCTCCTTAGAAACTGGCTGGATCTGGATGATTTCAATGTCATCATCTTCACCCAGAGCTTTCAGAAGCTCGGCACGCTGTTGGTCGTTCATGTTGGTAGTGACTGGGTAGCGGCCGGTTGTCGATGACTTGATACAGGAGTCTTGAACGTAATTCTTAGAGTCGCTGGGGATGTCGATTGAATTCTCACGCAGTCTCGTCAGTAACTTGGCCACAACCTTGACCGTGACTTCAACCAGGTAGGTATCCCTCAGTCGAAGCATCCTGACAATGCCAAAGAGGTGACGCTGAGGATCCTTCAGAAGCTGTTGCATCTTGGTCAGTTCTTCTTCTTTCGGCTTTGCCTGCTTCACGTCGTTCTGCGAGGTAGTAGCTTGCAGCGCCGATGCAAATAGACCATCCTGGGCAAGCATGCCGTCTGCCAACTCGATGACATCGCGACAAAAGTCCTGCATCACTTTGATATCGGCAAGATGAGACCAGTTACCGGTAGATGTGAACGCGACCTCGATGTATCTCCAGTGGGCAACCCACCAGCCAGTGACGGCGATCTGTTCATTGCTGTCCAAAGTCTTGGATCTGAGGATGCCAGATGAAAGATCACCGAGACCTGAGAGCACGACTTTGGCGGTGTTGATGATATTGCGAGCGGGTCCCCATGCTGCATGTGCCGGCTCCATGATTCTTCTTATTGCAAAAATCATTGAAGAGAGAGTGGTGCTAAGATTCCGTTCAAGTAAAACGGTGAGTGCGTCCTCCTTGGAAGGCTGTTCGGTAATCAACTTGATAAGTTCGGCACTGGCACTGCTGATTTCGTCCTCGCCGTGGACTGTGAAAGCAATGATGGGCCGAATGCTCTGGGCCATGAGGCACAGCTCGTTGAGTTGCGGTGACGTAAACTCGCACATTCGCTGCAGAACGCGTCCGAGTGCCTCCGCAACCATTTGGAAACGGGTATTGAAGCTCTTCTTCGCCGGATCCAACTTTTCAGGTTCCTTTCTATTAGGATGGAATCTCTCAACGTTGATAAGAGGAGCCATTGCCATCAGCATGGTCTTGGCTAGGATGAGCTTGCCTTCGTAAAGGTTTTCCAGGAATCCGTCCCACAAGTCTGCCGATTTGCGGGTGACGGCAGTCTGGATCGGCTTGGGCGTAGCCTTGCGAAGTTCGAGATGCTCCTCAGCAGTTACTCTAGAGTCCAAGCTCAAGGCGGCACTAATGACGCTCATGGCTGCCTTGGGCACACCCAGTGTGTGTTGATCCGTGCTTCTGGTGTCCGCTCCTTCGTTGATGATATCTTTGTACTTGAGAGTGACGTTGAGAATTGTGTTGATGTAGACAGATGTGGTGCCTGAGATGACATCAATTGTAGGGTCCAGAAACGATCGCAGGACATGGTCTAGCGCATCTAAGCCAGCCCTGATACAAGCGGCCTTTCCTTGCTCTCCGATTCTAGCATCGTGGATGACTTGCTCGAAAAGCAGGTGAAGCAGCTGTTCGCAAGCATCGCCCTTTTGCTGACGTTTAAGTGAGGCAATCCATGTGTTGATCCACGAGGTTGTGATTGACTCGACCGAGTCATTTTTGCCCGTGCCATCGTCATACTTGATGGCGAAGGTCAAAGATTGCGCAAGAAGCTGCTTGAACAAAGGCTGGGAGAGGAGCTGCTCAATGACGACGAATGGTCTCGCGTCACCAATAGTATCCCAGAAAGCCTGTGGTGACGTTTCGAGCAGGACAGTCAACGCTTGAATGATGAGCAGCAGGATCGCCTCCGACTCGCACTGCATATGGACGAAGAGCAAGTCGTAGATGCTGGGCTTGATCTCCATACCCCGAATTCCGTGCAACAAGAGCTTCTCGTCTAGGGTCTTGATGATCCAGTTGACGGCTTTCCAGAAACGTTCGATCTCCGGAAGGGATGCGGGATCTCTGGGGTTGAGTGCTGAAACTGACTGAATAGCGACCACCAAGTTGTCGTGAATAGCCCAATTGAATTGCTCTTGTGTCAAAGACTTTGGCCGCAGGCGCTCCCAGGACTTTTCGGCGAATTGGAGGCGGACCTTGTCTTCTCCAAAGAGGAACTGGGTCATGGCAGGGAGCAGGACGTTTTCACCCAGCTTCAGTGGCTTCTTGCCAGAGAGGCGGACGAAGACGAACTGGAACAGAGTTCTTTTCTCCGGCACGCTGACGTATGCCATACAGCATAGAGCCTCGTAAACAGTGAGCAAAACTGCGCCCTGTTCCTCGCCCAAGTCGCTCCTCGTAAAGGCGCGGCCCTCATTCTCAACCTTCAATATGATGTCCTTGGCCCATTGAAGACCTTTGTCGATTCGGTCGAAATCGAAGCGGTGGAGGCAATTCTCGATGCCGGCGACGGCTTCCTCTGGCCATTTTCTAAAGTACCATTAGTTTGGTCACGGCGAACGCTCGTGGCGTTCTGGCTAGTCTGAACTTACTCGGAAAAGACCTGAAGATACTTCTTGCGATACATGTGCCAGTTGAGGACGCACTTGTCGCAGTTGTGGAGGTTAATAGCCATCCGGCTGCCCCAGGCGTCGAGCCAAACACCAGCCTTATCTTTGCCATAGGCAAGGAGAAGACTAGTCCAGTAGGCGATGTCGAGCCGCTCCTTCCATTTTTCTACTCTCTCCTTCTTCTCTAGAGCTGTGATATCTTCGCCATCAGTGTGTAGGTCGTCGTAGTCCTCAAAATCATCCTCGTCAACCTTGGGACAGAGAAGGTGGAAGTCGGGAGGAATTTGGGTAAACTTCCGATAGCTCTGCTCGAGGATATCCTCGACCGGTTGTGACTCCATTTTACTGCAGTGATCGAGCCCGTCGAGGCATATCGTAAGGGTAATCGAGATCGGACAAGCGCAAGGTAGCTTGATGGTTTGCGTTGAGTGACTCGCGATGCGACAGGCGAAGGAGCTTCAGCAGTGGTGGTTGTGAATTCGGAAGGAAGGACTCGTCGTACTCTTGCGACCAAGACGGAAGGTGGTGAAATAGCTGAAATCTGCGCGCGATTCATGTATGAAGCAAAGTCAGACCTTGCGGATGTCAGCTTGAGAGACACACGTGACAGGTCTTGCGTCTGCGAGCCGGAAGATTGTCGATTTTCGTGGTTGTCTCTCCTCGGTTGCTCGGTGTTGCGATAGAAAGGCAAACGGAAATAGCCTCGTGGGGAAAAGAAAAATAGGCTTCAGCGAAACAGCCCGCTGTAGGGAACGGTGAGCTTGGAGGAGGAAGGCCGCGGGAAGGAAAGGGAAAGCCCACGATCTTCTGGTTTGGTTGTTGGAGGGGGAAAGAAGGTAGCTGAAGGCAATCAAAAGGTGAAGCCAGGCAAGTGGGCTGCAAAAATGGCAGTGACACGCTCCGGCCCGGCCAGGACGCGGCCAGGCGTCAATTCCCATTAAAGCGTGTCGACAAGGGGGTGGGGACTTGACCCATCGTGAGGTACCTCATTGGAGGTAGCGCGTGGCAGGCTGAAAGGGTACTGGAGTTTGTGCAGTGGCTAACTTGGACAATGCTGTGGCACAGGAACAAGGAGGCTATCACTGTGAGCGCACAGACCATACCTTAAATCTCACCTCCAAGCATCCAACATTGGTCCCTTGATGACCTTCTTGGCCCTGCATTCTTCAACAACACCATGATTGAACTTTAGCTTAGCCCATGCTAATGAGTCCATGTCATACATGAATGAATTCAACGAACAACTAAGCATTTCTATTTCTGGCAAACCAATATCTATCCTGGCTTCCTGCGACCGCACCGGCGGCGTCTCTCTGAAGTCTAGAATTACAGTATGGCAATGTTGGAAGACCAACATGAATAGAAATCCATGACTGGGCTCTCTCATGGTGTTCATTACCTCCAAAGTGACCACTGGGATTTAGATTTTGTACTCAGTTGGATATGAATCACAGACAAAGTCGTCCCAAATAGCAAGGAGCTCCCTCGGGCTCAAGTTAGTGGAATAGCAACATTAATGTATGGCATAGTGGAAATCAGGGAGTGTCACTGCCTAGCAGTTCTCATTCACGTTTTTGCTCAAGCTAGTTGAATCCCGCCGGTCCGCAATCAGATCTCCCAAATGAAAGCACCCCCCATATGCCCTTCTGGGTAACTTCGTGCGCCCATCACACCATGCTGTGGATGAGAATGGCGACCCGCCGCAGATAATAGATCCTCCAGATGCCTCCCCCAAAAGTAGTTTTTTCATGACGTGTCTCTTTTGCGGATGATCCATCTCGATGATAGATCCAGCCACCTAGAATCAATGTATCGCATTCCCTTGGTCCCAGAGACCTGATGCTCTCCACCCCGGGCTAAACGATATGTTCGTCTAATCGGCCCCTGATACACCAGCTTGAGGCTTGGTGAATTTTACCCACACATCGAGTGTGCCCGACTCTCTCACACTCTTGTTCTTCACCTTCGCCTGAGTCTGTTTCTTGTCACGAGCCAGGAGGTGCTCAAGTGGACAGACAGTACTATTCCACTTCGTAGTACCTTCCACTGTCGACCCTTGGCAACGGTAGCAATTTCCACCGTGCTCAATGAACAACTGATGAAGTCCATACTTGAGGTGGTCGGGTACTCGAAAGTCGCAGTGCATGTATGTGTCGTTCGGGCTTGCTTTCATGGGGGCCCATCCCAGCCATCTTGTCATCCGATGTACATGGGTGTCGACCGCAAAGCTGGGCATCTGCAAATTGAATAGTAGAAGACAAGACGCAGTCTTGACTGCGACCTGGGGGTATTTGACGAGTTCCAGCATTGCATCATGTGGCTTCATGATTCGGATGTGATCCAGTGTTAGTATGCCCGCATTAATCTTGCTCAGCTGGTGGTCCCTTTGTTCTGGGCTCAATCTCGCTGTCCCAGGCGAATTGCTGGGATCTTTCGTTTCTTTCTCCTTGAGGTACATCTTTGCCCTTTTCTTGTTATCTTTGCGAATCATGCTGAGGCACGTCTTGATGGCATTGTACTTTGTGGGACCAAGCCCACCTGGTCGAAAAGCCTCCAGCACTGCATCTTTCGGGGCCTTTCGCAGAGCATTCCAATTGATACTCTCTGGGCCAGGTCCTTTCTTGTCAAGCATACCAATCAGTTTGATAATATTTTCTATCACCTTGTCGGCGCTTTCTCGGGTGACCGACTGGCTGATGATTGTTCTCATCATGGCATCAACCAAGCATGGCACTTCTCCACACCCAGCGACATTGGCAGAAGCTGGCGGTATTGCGGCTGGTTGGATAAAGTTAAGTGCTTTGTGCTTCGCAGGCTCCTCACTCTTCTCTCTCTTTTGGTATTCCTGAACAAGGATGTCGTAGACAACCTGGCACTCCCCTGCACTAGGTCCAGGCCAGTCGCGGTACGGTGTCTCTCCTGGCATCAGTCCATAATCCTTCTCCTTGACGACCTTCTGTTCGTCCTCTGAATCTAGGTCGTCAGTTGAATCTGGATCGCTTCCTGCTTTGTCGATCGCCTCTTCGTTTGCCTCACTGAGATCCACGGTCGCTGTTGTCGGCTTCTTTAATCGTCGGTATCTCTTGGAAGCTTTCTCTAAATCTTCTGCAGTCATGTTCTTTCTCGTCGACGCGAAATCATCAGAGCAGCTGTTTGGGAACGAGTTCTCATCTCTGACGATGACCGCCAGGTTGGAAATGTAACTTCCTAAACCATGGGGGAGATCTACCCTGATCTCCTGGGTAGATGATGCGTCCTTGGATGCGGCTTTCACTCGCTTAATCGCTTGTGGATGGTAATCATCCTCTTCGTTGTCTTCAGCGTGTCTCTTCACCCCAGGAGCAGCCGATCGTAACATTCTTGTGCCCCCTGAAGGTCTTTTGTTGGTAGCGTTCTTGATAGAAGCCAGCCAAAACTTTCTGTCTTCTTTTGGTGAACGCACGTTTTCTTGGTCCGCTGGCTCTGGAGGACTCCTTTGGGGGGTATGTGTGGTAGAAGTTTGGTAGAATGCCTCTTTATCTGCTGGTCGACGGACCGTCCCGTTGTGTACTGGCAATTGAATCGCTCCTGCGTCCGTTGGAAGTTGGATCGCTCCAGCATTGATTGGTGATAAGATCGCTCCTGCATCAGCTGGTGGTGGGATTGCTTTTGCACCCACGGCCAATTGGACTGTTCCATCTTCTACTGGTGAAGGAAGTGTTCTCTCATCTACAAGTGAATGTGTGCCTCCTTCGTCTGTTAGAGATACGACACTTTACAAGGTGGCACGCTTACCAGGAGACTGTTTGGACGTTTCTGCTTCTTCTAAAGGTAAAAGAATCTTCTGGGCAGCTCGCCTGGTCGCACTTCGAGTTTGCATGATTGTGCGAGAAAAATAGGACAATAGGTCAAGATTCCACGAAGACTCAGTAGGTATTGATTAATCCAGTGAGATAGCGCGAGTACAATGTGCTCTACTTCGTGGCACAAGTGTAGGGGAATGTTATGGCGATCAGGGGCCCAATAGCAAAAGAGGAATCGGTAGGTTTCTGGCTTGTTTCGAGACTTGATGCATTTATTTTGTAGAGACTTTCCCTGAGTTGATGTCTAGAAAGTTTATGGGTCGTTGGTCGTTGGTCGTTGTCAATCACGCTTTGAGGGGCGATGTTGGGATGAGGTTGGTTGAAAGCGTGAATCGCCGTTGTGTATTACGGATGAATTAAGCGAGGTCTTCCATCCCAACTACGTACCTTATCTAAAAAGATCCATATGTGATTGATCGAAAGGTGCCTGGCCTCGATTTTGGAAGGAAGGAATTCAAGCAGAGGTGGGAAGGCGTCAAGAGGTGTGGGTGCCTGCCTTATTTCCCCTGGTCCCTGGCGTTACATTTGGTATCTACTGCTGTTCACGGTATCGCTACTGTCTGAGGAACCTCACTCATGCAAGTTTGTGTAAGAAAGAAAAGGTTCCTGTGTTGCTTTAGTAATGTTTGAGTGCCAAAGAAAGAGATGGAAGAGAGGGAAGAAAGAGCTTATGAAACCAGCTTAAGCATTCACTATGGTCGTTGGTGAAGGGAGGCAAGGCCCACAAGGAAAAGTCCAAGCACTTACACAATGAGTTTGGAGATATTTTGAGGACTTTGTGTCGTTCATCGATGTCAAAGTCACGGAGGGAAGTTATGACACGCTTAAGCAAGCAGACGATAGTCAGGCGTCAAGGCGGTATGATGTTGTTCTATGTGATTTATCTCACCATCTCGGGAGCTCAAATCTGCACTTAGGCCTTTGAGGTGGCGTTCAAATGGATGAGAATATGACTGAAAGACTTCACATGAAAGACTTCAAAGTTGCTGTTATGATCTACCTCTGGGTCTAGAGGTCAAGAACAGCCATGGGAGGTGAGACGAGGGCGAGAGCAAGTCGGGTTATCCATTTCAAAAGAAGCAGGGGATTACCTGACCAGCGACCTATCCGGTTGTTTTCAAGTACTCTACCAAATATTCAGATGGTCTGAATCTTCTTCACATGCTAGATCCATATCAGAAACTTCTCCACCCTCAAATACTCCTCGTTCTTCCCTATCCCCTCCATTGGGCAGGCAGTAGCCGTAGCTCCTGCCTCGAGGGCAACTTCAACCCCTTGGGTACGCCCAATCGGCTTCATCTTCTCAATCTGAGAAATTGACCCCTCACAGACTTTTCTCACCTCCAACTATCCCACTTGGACCTTTCGTTTTGACAACATCTCGAGCGGCGCAACCAAGATCTGAGCGACCAAGTGCCTGAATTGGCGCCAAGCAGCAGGCAAGGTTCAACGAACAAGTCCATTATAGGGTGGAAGAGGATAGTCTCACCAAGGTACGTCAGGCTGAGACCAACAAACCAACAGACTCGAATACCGACAACTTTAGCCTTGTACGTCGTTTCACCCTCTTTATCTTGCACCCCTAGCTGATCAGACAGCCAGTCCTTGACCATCAAAGCAATGGCTACCGCTGTATTCTCGGGCAGTAGCCCCTTCGCTGCCATCGTCGTGGATGATGATCACACATCTGAGGATAAAACCACGACAGAATGGCAGCGAAGGGTCAATGCCTATCGCCCTCAAGGGCGAGAGAACTCTGTCGTCACCATCAACAGTGATTTCGACGTCCTGGAACAGAAAGAAGAGGACATCGCCGACAGAGAACTCGAAAATCTTATCGATCTTACTGTTGAAGATGACCCGGTTGTCCGACACCGTCGACGACGTCGCCAACCGCTCCCCGCCAAGAATCCTGAGCGTCATCACCAGAGCATAGGAACTGGCCAACGGCTGATCAAGCTCAAGAAGTTTTATGAGCTGGATCCTTCGCAATGCCCCAAATCGGCGCTGGAGCCGCATTTTCTTCTGGTGAAAAAGATCACGGAGGATTTGATCACCAACAAAATCACAATTACCGGACTGCCGTTTGTCAGAGTACGCTCACTCATGGCCAAGTTGCCGCGAAAGTTGAATGAGGTGGCCGTCGTCTACGAACTAGACGAAAACGACGACAGGACGATCAACGAGCAGGCAAGCATTGAAGTCCCCTTGTTGGCAATCATCGGACCTTCCAGAAGCTTTCACACTACGAATGCGCTCTACCCGCACCATCGCTATGACCCGAAAGCCTTCGCCAACCTAGAAGCAGTCGAGAAGGAAGGTCCACTGGTGTGTCGGTGGAAGTACTTCGTTCACTACCGAGACTCACGCGAGAAGAAAATAAGCAAAGCTCATCATTGGACGTTGGAACGTGTTCGAGAGCACGAAGTCGAACGAGAAGACTTTAGGGTATCTGAGGAAGATTTGCGATCTGACTGGCGAGGCCTGACAATCCGCGGAGGCGCACATCTTCCAGAGACGCAGCCTCAGGTGCTTGGAAAACCCACCGAGAAGCAGAAATACACAGTCTTCGATTCTTTCTGCGGCGCCGGCGGCTTCTCGAGAGGCGCCGAGCGGGCAGGAATGAAGGTCCAACATGCCGTCGACTCCTGGGACCGGGCGTGCAACACCTACCGCCAAAACTTCCCGGATACCAATCTCTTCGAGATGACTGTCGACGAGTTTATTCTTCACCAAAAAGATGTCCCAATGAGAATTGACGTTCTCCATCTATCGCCACCATGTCAGACATGGTCACCGGCTCACACCGTCGCGGGACAAAACGACGAGGCCAATATCGCCTCGCTCTTTGCCTGCAGAAGTCTCGTCGAGAAAGTGCGCCCTCGACTCTTTACGCTGGAACAGACCTTTGGAATACTGCAGCCGGCATACTCACCTTTCTTCAACACTCTTCTGATGGGGTTCACCGAGTTCGGGTATTCTGTAACTTGGAAGCTGGTCCATCTCCAGACCTGGGGGCTCCCTCAAGTCCGAAAGAGACTGATTATGATTGGCGCCTGTCCCGGAGAGAAGTTGCCCCCCTTTCCCAGAGCAACTCACTCCGAGACGGGAGCCGGCGGTCTGGAAAAGTACGTGACTATCAAGAAAGCACTCGAGAGGATCACGAATGACTGCTCCTGGCACAACCCGGAGGAGGAGATGAGAGACACTTTGCCCACGGGCTCAGTCGTGTCCAGCCCGGATGAGATCTTGAAGAGAGCCATCACATGCTCGGGAGGCGGAAATATGCACTATTCGAATACCAGAGCCTACACGGTGCGTGAGTTCGCCAGCCTTCAGGGGTTCCCCTTCTGGCATCAATTCCCCAAGGCTCCCAAGTCAGCCTTGAAGAAGCAAATCGGGAATGCATTCCCGGCGTGCGTTGTACGACCGCTCTATGAGCACCTCAAGAATTGGCTTCTAGCCGAGGACGGTCTCGCCCCTGCCTGCGACGTGAGAGCCAGCGTTGGCGGAAGAGAAGTGGTGTTCCTGACCGAGGCGCCTGCGCCTACGCCTACGCCGCGCCGCGTCCCTGTTTCCGTCGCGATGCCGTCGCTCTTGAGAACCCAGGGAGACTCTGCGAGCAACGCTATGGTGCTTGATGAAGATGAAGATGATCAGATTGAGATCAAGTTCTACGGGGACTCCGACATTGAGATGTCTGACGTGCCCGAGGCGTCTAGGAGCCCGGATACCCCTGACACGCCGCTGTCTTATTACCGGTACCGGTCTCGGTCGAGGACGATGTCGCTTGGACCGTCTCCAGAGCCGGTGCAGTCTGGGCTGAAGGACTCGCCTATTGTGATTGACTGAAGGGGTACGAGAAGGAATTTATTGTGTGTGTGTGTGTGTGTGTGTGTGTGTGTGTGTGTGTGTGTGGAAATTTGCGAACTTTGTCACGTTGCCATTTCTGAACGACGACTTTGCACGACAGAATAGGAACAGGAACGAAATAAAGGAGTGGTGTTGAACACTGGGCTTTCTCAGAGACTACGAGGAATGGGCCGAATGGCACGGATCTTCAACGTCACGCAGGAAGCAGATGATGATTGTTGCACTGAATGAAATGGAACGAGAGGAAGGGAATTACTTTTTTTCTGTAGTCTAGTTTTGAGATTAATCTGCATTTTCTCACTAAACAATCCTCCCTAACCATTCTTCTTCACCACAAGAGCGAGGCATAGTCACCACCACTCTCACGACCTCAACACACTCTGATCAACCCAGCTAACAAACCCAAACTCCCCCTCGGGCGTCTGGAACACGTCCTTGGGTTCTCTGTACGGCGCCGCGCCCGCGTCGTCCAGCACAATCGTCACATTGCTCGCCTTCATCTGCTCGGGCGTCCAGCCCGGTCCGCGGTCGTCGTAGACGGCCATGAAGGTGTAGTTGTTGACGCGCGGCTCGCTGGCCTGCCACTCAATGTAGCCCTGGGGCTTGATCGAAGCATCAAAGAAGGACTGCATGAAGATGGAGCGGTGCTGGGCGTTCCAGGGGCGGCCGAGGGCGCAGGCGCCGCGAATGGTGGGCGCGACGGAGGCGTTGGCGGCGAGGACTTGGGAGTCGGAGATGTAGACTCCGTACTTGTTTTCAAAGGTTGTGTTCGTTCCTGTCATTTTCGTGTTAGTTTTAATGGGATGATGGTGGCTTGGGAGAGACAGAGAAAGGAAAACATACCCTTCCAAGCAGTGATACCGCCGCCGCAGTTCCTCAGCGAGAGCGTCGACTTCTCAATGTACGCCGTGCCGAACCCGTACAGGAAATCCGTCTGGCCGGCAATAACATTGTCGTAGAAGTAGGCGTTGCCCAGCTTCCCGACGTACAGCGTATCCTGCCACCCGTACAGCCCGCACGAGTAGAACCCGGCGTTGGCCCTGCTCACGCCCACGGCGTGCGCGGGGCCGTTGGAGTACGGGTACTCGTCGTTGCGGAAGTCAATGTTGTAGGCGCGGAAGTCGGCGCAGCCGAAGGGCGTGTC